ATTTTTATTTTTCTTGTTACTAAAACTAGAAAATATTGTAATTTTGTTTTCCTTGTTACTAAAACTAGTAAAATAAAATACCGAAATAATATCTGATTACAAAAATCAGAAAACCAAACCACAAATTAATTTTCTAGTTACTAAAACCAGAAAATAAATTACAATACAAAATAATTTTATTTTCCTTGTTACTAAAACTAGTAAAATAAAATACCGAAATAATATCTGATTACAAAAATCAGAAAACCAAACCACAACTTAATTTTCTAGTTACTTAAACCAGAAAATAAATTATAACCCAAAATCATTTTTTTTTCTTGTTACTAAAACTAGAAAATACTGTAATTTTATTTTCCTTGTTACTGAAACTAGAAAATAAAATACCACAAAACTATCTGATTACAAAAATCAGAACAAACACAAAATAATTTTCTAGTTACCAAAACTAGAAAATAAATTAAAACACAAATTAATTTTCTAGTTACTAAAACCAGAAAATAAATTATAACAACAAATTAATTTTATTTTCCTTGTTACTAAAACTAGAAAAATAAAATATCACAAGAATTTTCTGTAATACCAAATAATATTCTGAATTGTTAATGACACCAGTATCGTACTACTAGTTGTTGTCAAAGAAAAGAGACAGTATATTACTACTATCTGTCAAATAGCATAAATCACTATTTGTTTTTCCAACCAGAATATTACTTTGAAAACACAGAAAATTAAATACAATGAAGATACCAAAAAGAGGTTTGTCTTAAGATTGTAGGACAATCTTCACTGTATTTAATTATGTTAAATTCTGTTGTGTACTAAACAACAACCAGAATATAAAGAAATAAAGAAAATGAGAGAATTTGTTTGATTACAAAAATCAAACTCGAAATAATAAATAAATAAATAAAACCATAGATTTTATTTTGTTACAAAAACAAAAACAAAATCTGATTAAATAAACAAATAAAAACAGAATAAAATTAAACAACTTACTTGGTTAATTTATTTGAATAACTTTTCTGATCAAGTCTAGTGTTTAACATTGTGTCCTTAAGACAAATTCGTCCTCTCCACGGTGCTTTCAGAAGCTGGACGTCTATCTCCCAGGATAAAATGATCTATCAACGAATAAAAGCAGCACTACAATTTAATCGTTCGTCGAACACACAAAGTGTTTACACTTTTTCTTTCAGAAATAAAATGCAGCAAAATGCAGAGATTTAAAGCAGAGGATGGAGTACGAAAATTGAAGTGAAATCCAAATGGGGGCTCTTGGTTTTGAATTGAACAGGTATGAAACCTGTTAGTTTCGAATTTAAACAGATTTTGAATCTGTTGGGTTAATAATTCAAACAGACAAAAACGGGAAGGGCTCTGTTTGGATGAATAATAAATCCAAACCAGTTTAATTCTGTTTGAAAACGGAAAGGGCCCTGTTTGGATGAACAGTAAATCCAAACCAGTTTAATTTGAATTCTGGATTTTATTTTAATAAAAAATAAAATAAAATTCAAATGTTTTTGACCCAAAAAGATTAATATCGGGCCGAATAGCCAACCACACACCCGCGCCTAGGCCCAGCTTGCCCGACTGGACGGCGGCGGGGCGCGTGTGGTGATTTTTGGGTCCAATGGGTTTAGCCCATTTTACCCATAATCTCTCCCTCTAAAACACTTGGGTACCCCTTGGGGCACACCCCAAGTATCTCACCCAAGCCTTATAAACCCTTTCAAAACTTCCTACTAAATCAATGTGGGACAAGCTAATTTACAACCTTAAGGAATTTCCACAAAAACTTCATTTCCATGGAGCACACTTTGGCTTCAATTTTCCATTCACTCGGTAATGGTTTTGAGCAACCAAATATACCACGTGAATCACAACGCGGCATAGAACGCGTTACCACTTTGACCCGTGTAAATCAATGCACGGGGCCCACCTAAAAAATAGACCAAACTTGAGAAAAAATTCTTGTTTTACCCAGAATTTTTCTGCCATTTCCAACAGTCTCTACATTGGCAGGGTGGATCACGTTGCTGATTTATGTGAGTGAACCTTGATTTGGATCTTCGGCGGTAGTTCTCCAGGCAATGCGATTACTGTGGATCGATTGGAGATTGAAGAAGAGGATTTTGGTCTTCAGTGGAAAACTGTTGACTATGGTATTCTTTGTTTAGAATGGAATGGAACTGTAGCACTGGGTTTACAATTTTTAGTAAGTGTGTGGAATGATGATTTATGTGGCATGGGTATAATGGTACGAATGAGTCGTATAATTGAAATAATTAGAGCGCGGATTGATAAGAATAGTTAATAATCAAATTAATAAGTGTGTGTATTAAAATATGATGTACACTAAGGCAAGTAAGTGGGTGGAAATAGAATTTCTTTTTTTTAAGGTTTTTTTTATTACAATAATAGCATCAAATGAATTTACTAAAAACGACATCAATAATTCTAAGACACCTCATCTCACAATTAAGCCTACATACCTATTATATCATGAGTTATGATTTATGAAAGCACCCACCTCCATTGCTACCCATCTATCACCCCCAAATCCTACATTCAAAACCTACTCACCCTTAAAATCTTAAAAATTCTTTGGCAGCAATATTTCAGCGATAGCGGTGGCAACTATTTGATTACCTCCACTTCTTCGGTAATGATAATGAGTGAAATTTTTTTTGACAATCACAACTACGTAAAACGAGATGAGTACAACAATAAAAGGTCAAAGGAAATTCATAACTTTGATGGTGTTATTAGCTTAGAGAAGATTGGTCTTATAAAGATAAGTTTCTTGAAAAAAATGACAAAATAATAAAAAAATGTTCATCATTTTTTCGGGATTGAACTTCTGAACATATGACTAAAATTCGGGAATATAGGCACGAACATTGTTCATTTGTTAGGGAACACGTAATCGAACATTTCTTATTTATTCGGAAACAGATAACTGAAACTCGTAAAGATTGCAAAACCCATAAAAAGGAAATTTCGAATCAACAAAAAAAAAACCTACATTCATTTTTTCTGGTCATGAAAAAAAAAAAAAAAAAAAAAACCTACATTCATTTTTTCAGGTCATGAATAAGTATGTGGAGATGAAGTAATCACTTTTGTGAGTTTTGTTAGGGTTTTGGGGAGAAAAGCTTTTTGGGGTGTGGGGTATACATTTAGTTGAATAGGTGAAATGTTTTCATAAGGATAATTTTGGTATTATTTGAAAGGAGAAAAGAAATTTTAAAGGCTTTAGAATTTTATAAGTGGGGATCCAAAGAAATTAGGGGTTCAAAATAATTAATGGAATGCTAATATCAGTGCTAAAAAGTAATATTTTAGATTGATTGTAGAAATAATAATAAATTAAATTTACTTTTTTATTTGCTTTGAAATTAAAAACATGTATAAGCATTTTAGAAATTATAATTAAATGTATGTTATGACATACGCTTGATTAAAACGAAAATTTAGTAGAAAGTGAAAGTAATAGAAAATGAAAGGAAAGAAAAGAAATAGAAAAAGAAAAGAAAATATATTTTATGGCAAGTATTTAATTAAGATAAAAATTTTGTAAGAAAAATATAAAAAAATTAAAAATTTAGTTATAAATAACTCACACATTCAAATTTTTTTTTTTTTTGTATTTTCTTGTGTTTTTTACAAGAAATAAAAAATTAGTTACAATGCTAATGTGAATTGTACAAAAAAATTAATTTTTTATGTTTTTCACCATTTTCAAGCTAAACAAACTCATAAAAGTTAAATTTTTTTTTCTTTTACTTTCTACTTATTTCATTTTAAACAAACTGAGCCGTAAGGATTGTTTAGTGTAGTTTATATGGATCTGGGGTGCTTGTTATGTCCCCACTGTTGTGCTGCCCTATGGGTTTATTTTGGGATCCATTTTGATGATTTGAACCGTTTATATTTTAGAGTACATCGAGTAGAATATATTTATAAAAAATCAAATTAATCTGATATCATTAACCCTTTTATCCACTCACTTTTGTATCTATTTTAATACTTTAAATCACAATGTTATTTATTTTTATAAATACAAATGCGAGTAAAAAAAGGATTAATGATAATTTGATTTTTTACAAGTTTATTTTACTTGATATACTTTAAAATATGAATAATTCAGAGTAGGGGTGGTCGCGGTTTGATTTTAGCCGATTTGCGGATCGGTTTGGACCCGCCTACATGTATGTGGTTTCGGAAAAATTCAACCCGCAACCTCCAGTGCGGGTTGCGGTTTGTGCGGATAGGGTTCGCAGATGTGCGAGGGGTTTACGGATTAGACTTTTTTCTTTAAAAATTATTTTGGAGCTTTTTTTTTTTTTTTCTCTCTCTATTTTGTAAATATTTATTTTGGGCAATTTTCTCTCCATTTTTTAAAATACTCCAATATTAATAATTAATAAATTAAAATTTATAAAATTAAAAGCACAGCAAAAATCAATTCTTAATACAAACAAATCATTCAAAATCCTAAACTTTTAAATCAAATAATAAATTAACACAAGCACATCTTTCACAATTCTAAACTAAATCATTAATCTCATTCACTATCTATTACTCAACAATACAATTAAAGTAAAATTATTCAAAATCCTATGCTTACATAAAAATAATTCTTTATTAAGTTTTACATTAATCCAAAATAAAATAATAAAATAACAACTAGCCAATTTTTTTTTTATAGAAAAAAGTGTCTTTTAAGTTCGGACGAGTTCTTGCGGGTTACGAATATTTCAAATCGCATCCGTCCATATTATATCTGCAAACCCACCTATTTATATGTGAATCAATTCATATTAGGCGAATTGTACAATTCAAATAATCCTATACCCAATCCTAATTCAGTTCACTAAAATAGACCCGCAATGAACCCATGGCACACTACAAGTGGCACCCCAAATCCAGTTTATAATGTTCACAACGAAGGAAAGAAAATTACATAACTAGAATTCTCCTCAACGTAAGCTATAAAAACAGAGGCCATGAGTCCACTTCAATTACTCAATCTGACGACAATGGACACAGCGTTTCTCTCAAACCCTCTTCTCGTTTAGTCTCCACCTTCGTATCCCTCACTCCTCTAATAATAAATATTTGAAAAGCTATGGATTTGTGTCACTATATGAGGTGTGTTTATTATTATTATTTTAAATTGTCCTTTTTTGTTAATTACCGTTCCTATTTTTATTTCTAAATTTTTTTTTTTTGTCGAAATATTTGTATAGAAATGAAAGAATTTGTGCATCATGATTTTTGTTGGTCATTGATAAGAAATGTGACCTTCAAATTAAATCCCTAATTTTTATTTTTTGTGTTCTCTAATATAATTGATTCATAAGTGCCATTGATTCTCCCCTTCATCATCTGGGTTTTTTTTTTTTTTTGATTACCTTCTGAACTTGTTTGCTTTTAAACTGGTGTACTATTCATAATAAGGTAATAAAAAGGCTAACAAGTTCAAGAGCGATCTTCTAAATTTTGATTTTTTTTTTTTTTTGGTTTTTGATTGCCTTATGTAATTGTTAGCTTTTGAACTGGTGTACTAGATCATGCAGTTAGTGCCAAAAAAAAATAAAAAATAATAATAATAAAAAAAAACTGTGTTTGAATTATACAATTTGTTATGCCTATATCCAGTTGGGTTGCTGTCTTTTGTTTTGTTTGCTTTTGCTTCTATATAGTTCTTAGCAATTCTGACTCCATCAGTTGATGATCTGTTCTCCCCAACTTACTGTTCTTCATTTTGTTATGAATTGAGTCATTAGAAATCTACAATATCACTATTATTAGAAATCTCCTTGATACTTGGGGGCTTTTGATTAGTATTTTGATAATGATTTGTATTTAGTTAAAGAATCATTCGACTTTTAATTTGTATTCTGTTAAACGATCTGTGCGCTTGTGATTTTATACTGAGTGCCAATTGCCAAAGAGTTACTGGGCTCGTGATTTTATTAAACACTTAGGCCCCAAAATTGTTCTGTTCCAATTTAAAACAGGCTCAGTATAGGCCCCAAACCGACTAAACCACTCTGAACTGAATCGCCTTACACACATCGGATTTGTTAGGTGTTTTAGTATACTTGGTCTGCTTCAGTCATTAGAAAGGAAAAACTGAAATGTTCGGCTTGGTGGGAAATTTTTCCAAAATCCCAACCAAACCTAACTGAGTACACCCCTCACTTCATGGAGAGTTTGCTGTGAGGGAGGGGAAGTTTTAGTGGAGCGGGGGGAGGGGAGTTGTTGTGACTGTGAGGGAGAGGGACCTAGGGGTGACAGTGGGGGAGTGGGGACAGCTGGGGAAGGCGTGAGCTGTGAGTTACGGGAATGAGGGGAGATCTGTGAGAAAGGAGTCGTTGTGAAGCAGGAGCCGTGGAAGGGGAGACATTTGTGAGAGAGATCATTAAACATAACTGAGAAAGACTTGTCCAGGGTGTTTGATTGTTTGTCATTGGAAGCAGAAGATGTGTGGTGGTTGGGGCCTGTGTGTTAAGCTGACAATGAACCTTTGTGTGAGATTGAGAGCTTAGTTGCACAAAGCAAGGGTAGGGACAGGAGCGGAAGCGGGAGCAGGGGCAGAGGAGCGAGGGCATATAGAAGTTTTTTAGGTTGGGAGCACCTATGGGAGCATGTATATAGTTATTTATTAAATATATAATTCTGACAATTATTTTTTGTTGCTTAGTTGTAATATATGTATTAAAATATGAATAAATATTAGAGATTCATGTCAATTACAATCTGTCTTTATTAAGTATAAATAAAGATTATATAAATAGGAACTACTAGAATAAGTTTGAATTGTTTTTCTTTTGTTTCTATGAGATTTAAATGTTTGAGAGGTTTTGAGTTTCTTTCTCGACGAAAGCGAGTTTCTTACTTGGGAGCACAAAATCGTGTTTCTTAAGAAACACCACTTGAGTGGACATGGCTACTTCCGTTGCAGGCATAAGCGCTGCAAACATAGCTACTTCCGCTCTTTTCAGAAGGGAAGGTGCTTCTTTAACAACAATTATCCGATCAATAGCCACCCACGCCACGCACAAAGAAGGAAGAAGGAGTTGTGCCATCTCTATAAGCTAGTGTTTTGCCTTTTTCCCTGTTGTCGGGCTTACCGTTGTTAGAAATCGATAAAGATTAGATGCCAATAAGAGAACAGGACAAAGAACTTCACTTCGACGCTGGGTAAGGCAAGTGCCATGAGAATGAAATAAGTGCCACGAACAACTGACACTAGGGGCATAAAAGGAGCAGCTGTTAGCCATAAGACTAGAATCCCAACTGTGAGGGAGGTTTGGATAGATATTAAACTAGGGCTTGAACAGAATCGCACAAGGGACTGACATTTCTTATCTAGATGCCTAAAACAGAAGCAGATAAGATAGCTGATTAGGCCGAAAATGAGGATGCGGGGATGGCATTGGCTCTTTCTATCTTAAGGCGGTAAGGCGCAGTCGAAACTTGAAGCGTGTATAACTCATTCTAATTCTAAGAGTAAAGGGCTTAGCGCTTTGATGGTTGACTGCCTTCGCCCGGGGCACCTTTCTTTCTTTATATGCCCATTTTGCAAGAAGAAGGGCTTTCCTCAAACGATTGGAACAAGAACAGGCTGTTAGATAGTGCTAGAATGTGCTGGCCAAGCGTAGGAACATGCTGGGGGGTTCCCAGATCCATGACTACTTAGGCAAACCCATGATTTCGAACATCACTCTATTCAAATTTCCTGATTTCCTTCTCCTATTGCTACTGCTATTGATACTAAGGCTGCTTCCTTTTGTGGCAACCTTCTTTTCCCGCCTCGGTTAATCACCTGCTCTCTGTCTCGCTGATCTACGACTGATTCTTCTTCTCTTGAAAAAGGAGCTTGCCTTGCGTTACTGACCTTATTATAAAGTGATTTGTTCTCTCTTCTGTCCTTTCATTCTTTCATTATGAGTTTCACTAATACCCTCTATTATAGGACAAATACCCCGTTTTGTCCGACATTCTATTTACTAAACTCAATAACCCCGTATTCTCTGATCGGAGATTATGCTATTTTCACTTCTATCACTTCTAAGAATAGAATTATAGGTAATGATACTGGATATCGTATGATTGGTGTGAGGACAGATAATTTGGACAAAAAGGTTTGTACTGGTCTAGTGGCAACAACAAGGTTTAGATGTCAGATTGTTGTTACAAGGAATGAGAAGAACATAGCACGAAAATTCTTAAGGATTGGGGTAACCTGGCCGGGAGGCAGACACTTCAATGAAAGAGCTCCTTTGGATTTTTCCTTGATCTAAGAGAATGAAATAGCATCTTTCCTGCCCTCAGTTTGCGCCAGGAGCCATCATCTCATAAGTATAAGAACCGATAAAACGAATTCCTGCCTATGAAGCACGGGTGCGGGTACGGATACTGGTACAGGTACGATACGGGACCTAAAAAAATAGAATACAGGTATGGCTGGGGTACATTAATAAATTTTTTATTTTTTATAATTTATAGTTTGAGATTCAATCTACAAATCAAAGTTCAATATCAAAATTAAAAGGAGAAATTTAAAACCAAAAGAGAAATCCTAGTTTAACAATACCAATACCAGAGCAAAGTCTATAAACTATTTTAATGCCATTAAATAGGCGAAATTACAAAACAAAATTTCATTCCAAAAGCAAACTAAGCAAAATTTAAAAGCTTGAAGTTTTAATTTTCACTTCCATCAACTTCATCATTGAATAATATATTTTTCATCTCTGGCACATCAAGGATTTGCAATTTTAAGTAAATAAGAACTCTCTAATAAATTAGACGTATCCCCACCAATGTCCCATAGCTTGGTATACTCCCAATGTACCTATGAAGTACCCATGGAGTACCCAACCGCCAAAAATTGTATAAAAAGTACCTTGTATGTATTTTGAGTACCCGGTACACAAATATCCCTATCGGTACGAGTACCAGCCCCCGGTAAGTACCCGGTATGAGTACCGCAACATTCTCAGAGTATCCATGCTTCACAGGTTCCTGTTACTAAGGTCAAGAGAGGTGTTTGGTTTGTTCATTGGAGGCAGAAGGTGGCCAATGGTAAGTCGACGAAGAACCAATGTGATTGAAAGATTAAGAGAAAGAGAGGCGCTCTTTGTAGTCTGTATCTGTAGAGGCAGATCTAGAATGATTGATGTTTGGTGGTGCTTTTGATAGGGGGTTTCAAGAGGTGATTAAGTGTGGGGGTGCAAATCATCAAACAGCCTCCATTGACACACTACTACCACCACCACAATGGTTACCACCGCACAACAACCATCAATGCTACCACCCTACCACTACCAAAGGTCCACTTTACCGCTGTGGTCTGCTCTGGTACACTTCACTTCCCTATTTAGAAATAGCCAATATATCCTTACAATGGTGTTGGTAAGTTTTGCTCTTCACCTTTCTTCATTAATAATTGTATCCAAACTGACAAAAATTGTGTCTCGCACACAGACATTCTGAGAGTTGACAAGAGAAATAATTCCAGTCAAAGACAAATTTCCAATGCAAAAGTATAACATCGGCATTGTCTTCATATTCTTTCTCTAACCCATGTGACTCTAGCGCTCAATGGTTTAAGGGACGACCATGTGTGATGTGACTGCCTTAGCTGGATTGTCTAAGGAAAAAGGCTCGAATGCCACCCACAAACTGTCTCAACTCTAGTGAGAGATTGGATCCTCTAGGGATAAATCATCAATTCCCTTTTTTTCTATTGAGTTTTCTTTGTTTTCTAGTTTTTTTCGTTTCCCTTAGATTTAGGGTTTAGTTCCTCTAGATCTCTTTTAGGTTTTTGTGTCTTCTTTTCTTGCATGTTGCTTTTTCTCTTTCCTCGATATAATTTGTTCTTTTTTGTTTCAATGGTGTCTTTTTCATTTTCTTCGTTCGTTCTTTCTATGAGGTCGGGACCTCTCTATTTTTTTGTAGATCTCGTCATTTCCTTTTCATTTTGGGGTTTGTTTTTGGATGCAATAGTTTTTGAAGTTGGTGTCTGATGCCATACTGACGGCTTGTTGGAATGGATAGAGGCTGGTTGAGGTGGATAGGGGTCCTTGTCGAATGGGGTGTATGTCATAGGTGGTGCCGTGGTGGGGGTTGTGACAGGAGAGACGAGAAGAGGGAGAGAGAGTTTTAGCAGAGAGTGGAGGTAATCGATGAGGGGGGTGATTATCGATGGGGAGGTGGTTGAAATGGGGAAGGAGAGACGAGGAGGAGAGATTGTGTAGATAGAGAGAGAGGAGGGGCTCTGTCATAGGGGGTATCTTTGCAAAAGAAAAGAGTTTTTGTAGAGAGAGCCAGAGATGTAGTAGATCTGTGGGTATTTTCACGGCAATAGGGTTTGAGGAGATGCTAAACTATTTTGCCATTTTGGTCCACAAAGGGTCACCTTTTAGTATTTTGAAAGTTGTGATGTTATCATAATGCTTTGAATAACATCTTTTCATATTCCCTTGATCCTTATAACTAATGCCTTGTTGCTTCGAAGTGCGTATGGCTTGGTGTTGCCATTTACCATATTACTCTTCTCCTTATAGTGGCTTTAGTAGGTCAAATTCATGTTACGCTGTATAATTTTTATCACTGCGTGTGATTATGCTGTTTTACCAAAAATTCTCTTGTCCTCAGCATGTGCTACGTTTACACTAACCAATTCTTGCGTATGCAGTTTCTTTCCTTGTTTTTGCTCTTATCTACTGCAATTGTAATATTCCCAGTTTGCTACACAAAATTACGGAAATGTTGTTTCTCCCTTTTGCCAATAGTTTGTAAGGCATGGCTAATCTCATAGACATCTGACAAAATTTATGTTCGGTAGGTAGGGCATGAAAGAACATTCCTGAGACTTATTCTGTGAATAACATTTTCTTCAATCTGTTGTATCCAATATAGCAAAATCCGCAGTCTTGGGTATCATCCAACTGTCAAGGTCCACAATTTCTTGTTTTGCTAGTATTTGAACATTTAAGCTTCATGCAATGCATTCTTAGTCCTGTTTATCTTTTAAAAAAAAAAAAATTAAAAAAGTTGCAGTAACGAATATGGAATTTACGAAAATGCGTGTATAATTTATCTTGTAAATGAAGACATAGAAAATTCTCTTTGAACAACACTTGTTCATGTTTTTTGCTTGAGCATAAACCAAAATTTATATGTTTTTTAAGTATTCCACATTCTGTTAATACCTTGCCAGAATGATTTAAAAGCTTTGGCAAAATTGCCTTTAATTTATGCAACTTTTCTTAATCCTGATACGATCAACTTTCCTTTTCAGGTAATGTCATTCGTGAAGCATCTTAGAGATACTGTAGGATCCACCTACCATTTCGTATTTCAGTTGTTCAGATCTCGATCTTGTTAGACCAACTACATGATAGAGAAAGATTGATTTCCTTTATTTATTTGGCAACAATGACAGAATTCTTCAACTACACAACTTGCAGACAGCTGTTGCAAATGTTCTTGGCAATAATCTTTTTCCACATTTCTGAGTTCATTCTGGCAATTGCCATCCACGGTAGATCAAATGTAAGTTGTAGGTCTCTTTTGATTAGCAAAAACTATCTTCTGGCAATGATTTGTTCACTGCTAGAGTACTTTCTTGAAGTTTACTTTTTCTCTGGGTTGAAAGAGCAGTACTGGTGGATCAGCGACTTTGGACTCGTAATGGTTGTAATTGGGGAAATCATACGGAAGATGGCAATTTTAACAGCTGGTCAGGCCTTCACTCATCTCATTAAGACGTACCACGATGAGGAGCATCACCAATTGGTTACTCACGGTGTCTATAGATTTGTTCGTCATCCGGGATATTGTGGGTTTTTCATTTGGTCAATAGGCACTCAGATAATGCTCTGTAACCCAATATCAACAATTGCATTTGCCATTATTGTTTGGAACTTCTTTGCGAAACGGATACCATATGAGGAGTATTTCTTGAGGCAATTTTTTGGGTCAGAATATGATGAATATGCCTCTCAGGTTCCTTCTGGGATTCCATTTGTGGAGTAGTAAGAATCTATGAAATTTTTAGAGTGTGTCATCAAGAAAGCGCTAAGGCTGTTTATGCAAAGACGTTAGTCTGAAGCTTTGTCAAAGCCGATTCAATTCATGGGCTGGATGGACTGGATTATTCTTGAAGAACCAAACATTTTAGATGGTTTGTTTACTTGTTATGTTCCTGTTGGAGATCTCATTGGAAATCAATCAGTCTTCTTGTGATATACTAAACTCGGTATGTGTACCTTCCATAGATGTGACTGTTGAGTCTTGATCCCAAGCCATTACGCACAAAGTTGCAAGATTTGCAATCATCACTAGTAATATTTATGCGTTTTTGTCGCATGACTTTTTCATTGACATGAAATAACGGATGCCCTTTCTTATCGGCCTTTGTTTCTTTGTATATTACTGGGCTCTATATGCTTAAGCAGAAAGTAGAAAAGTTCTTCATTCGTGCTGCTGGATGACATATTATTGTCCTTGGATTATCACAATAAATGGTTACATAGTATTCTGTTATCGTGTGCATTGATATGTTGTCAGAATAAGTAATGAACCATGCATAAGGCTATATATATATACTTGCATGGTTATGAGTGGAGTGGACCTCCAATAGGAAAGGGTTAAAGCCATAGGCTTGAGACCAATCCAGGCCAATCTTATATGTTGTGCTTTGATTATGAATGCATTGCAGTGAAAGCTTTTGGGAATTTTATTGTGATTCAATAGATAGCAAAACATTCCATTTCAATTTAGATAATATATATCTATCTATACTATTATAAAGGGAAAGCGAGAATTGGTGTTGATGTCTGTCTTTTTGTTTCAAAACATTTACAACAATCATTAAATCAGGTGAGAATTTCAAGGTATAAAAATCTCGAGTCATAATTCAACGATTGTGAGTGTTTTGAATAGGGGATTGAGGAATTTGAGATAGAGGATTTGTTTTACCCTAGTTTCCCTTGATAATAATGCAATCGGTTTGATTTGATTCAATTTGATTCCATCAATTTTTAATGGATAGTAAAATTCATTATCAAAGCTATAATTTGATTGAATCTGTCAAAAAAATTCAATGTTAATTGGTAGCTAAATACATTTGCCAAATTTTATTTTTTCTCACATGATGATGATTCACAAAATGACTAGCAAATCTTCTCTCTCCAATCTTCACCATTGAAACAAAATTTGTCAAAAAATAAAATTTTTGTACTATAACTAGCCAAAAAATGGCTTTAACATTGCTAATTTTGCAATGACCATTGGAGTAACAACCCAACGGTCAAAAATAGATACACTACTCTAATAATAACTTGTTATTTTGGTACAATCATATTTCACATCTTCATCAACCAAATTATTGGTCCAATTAAGTATCAAGATTTTTTTTAATATGGATAAATTATGATTATCAATGTAATTTTTTATTCAATTTCTGTAATTATAATTTTTGATATTGTTACGTTTTTAAAATTTGTAGAATTTTCTATAGTTTTAGAATTTCTAATTGTGAGTTTTAATTTGTAAAAGTTTCGAACTTCAGTAGAAGTAGTTAGATTTTTGACAACAAATATAAAATAACAGAGAGTAACTTTGTCAAACTTTCAACCAAATTTAGCACAAATTTGACTTCGCCATTGAAGTTGCCCAACCCTTAGCATTCTAACTGAGCTCTCAAACACTAACAATCAACCTCTAACACCATATATATGCAAGGGGAATTACCTTCCATTTTCATCCTATCATATACTTCGAAAATACAAAAAAAAAAAAAAAAAAAAAAAAAATATTCTACTAAAACAAACAAACAAACAAACAAACCATTAAATTTACTATTTCGATCTCTCGTAGCCAATCTGCCATGACATAAAAGGGACAATACATGAAAAACACACATCTGGGAATATATATTTTGTATGAACCCAACAAAACCAAGCTGCTCCATTTTGTTCTAATGGCTTCCCTAAATTGATTTAGGGTAAAATATTCAATTTGCAGAGGGATGAGCAATTATCTATTGAATGACTCTATTCCTTCGTTCCTTTTTCTTTTTTGTCAACGTGGAACAATTTGTTAATTTGTTTAGTAAAATTAGTGTACTACTTAAAGAGTCATCGTTACTCCATTAGGTCAAACTCTTGACTTTTTCTCACTGCATTCTAAGATGCAACTACATGCCAACTTACCACAAAAACCTTGGTGAATGACTCCGTTCCTTCACCTGGGCCAAAACTTCTTTTTTATTTTATTTTATTTTTCTTGCTTTTAAAATCTTAATATTTAAAATAGATCTACTTAAATTAAATAATAGGAATAACTCAACTATCAAATTAGTTTGTAACCGAGTTTGCAAAATAAGAAAATTAAAAAGAAGGGTTCTATTGTACAACCTTACTTTGAAGACAATTCTCTCCAAATTTTTTATACAATGGATCAAAAGAGGTTGCCAATTCTCCAGCCATAAAAAGAAGGGGAAAAGAAAAGGGAAAAAAAAAGGCATTCTGTCCACCAATTTCACATTTATAAGATGTCCCAAATCTCTTAAATTGAATTGAAAAATTATCCTATTATCCATGAGGACTCATTCCAACATTGCATTTTCTTTCTTCTGTCTAATATGACTTTAGTGGGAATTCTATTTCAACAAAAAATGAGATTAGTCATTCCATTCTCACTTCATGCCATTCTTGTATACCAAATATAGCCTAAAGTATCAAATCTTAATTTCTCAAACGTAAGATTTCTCATTAATGTGAATGCCATCAATACTACACAGCCAACTTCAATTATAATACAACAAACAAAACACACACAAAAATAAACCAGGAGACACTGGTCACCTTGATGAACAGGGACACAATAAACGCTAGCTGCAACAATATATATGTTTCAGAAGCAGACAAAAGTCTGAACGGTTCTCAAACCAAATGTAATTTTCGACAGATTAAAATAAGGTGTTCAACAAATAGTCTATATCACACCTTTTTCAGGTTTTTTAAGCACCCTCGAAAACTGTCTCCTAGAAAGCACAGATCAAGGAGAAGAGTTGAAAAAGCAATCAACTGACTCTTCTATTTAGTACAACTAACATGGAAAACACAAAATTAATTCCTTGTATCTTCATGCTGACACTTGAGAATTTCCTTCATTCACCTTTGATTTGGATTGGTTCTTGAAACCTAACATCTTGTTTAAGGAATTAATGTATGCTCGGACACTCGAGACAACAATATCCATTCCTGCCCCAGTTCCACTGTCGCCAAAAGAAAGAGAAAATAAATCATATGATTCAAAGTAGCAAAATTCTATACCGCATCCACCCCCCAGTTATGACCTTTGTCTCTTTGGTTATGACCAATTGTGTTGTTAATTATAACTCATTCTGATATTAGTTATGATATTATTTTGGTTATGATCCAAGAGTTCTTTGTTATACCTTATGTGTTGTTTAGTTATAACTTATTTTTTTCTAGTTACGACTCCCATAATATTGAGTTATACCATTTGTGATAATCAAACTCATAAATGACATAATTTGCATACTCTTCAAAGTATATCTATATGTAAGTATTGTGAACTACATGATGTAATACCCATTTTTCTATCAATAACATTTTTTTTTGATAAATCATTTTTCTATAAATAACATATTTTAAAAGTATACAGTTTTTCTTTTTCTTTGGTAAAGAAGAGAAGGAAAGGGAATAGGGTAAGGAATCCTACATTCGCAACGTTAAGACTAAAACCTAGGCTTCACGCCAAGTAAGGGAACACCTCAACCACGAGGCTAACCCCTTGGTCTTAAAAAGTATACTGTTACATGTTTAAGTGAGTTTTAGAAATGTCAATGACAAAATTATTTTAAGGCAGTAGATTGTCAGATTCATGTCGGACACATCCAAATGTGTCATTAAATTTTTTTTTTAGATCCAGACATGCTTCGGACACTACATGTCTATCACTTACACACATGAAATACATTACAAGTTTGAATAAAATAACTTAGATGATAAAATGTTAAAAAATATATAATAGATTTATGCCTATTAAATCCTCCTTTAAACTTTAAGAATTAGTGTTAATGTTGTACTTTTTTTTTATTATTTTGAATGCAATAATAATCATATATATTACATATAATATATATATTACATATAATATATATATATATATAAAATCATATATTTTGTGCGTCTCTCAAGTGTCGTGTCCTATATTTTTTGAAAATTGACATGTCGGCATGTCTGTGCCCGTGCTTCTTAGCATGTGTGTAATTCAAGCAAAGGGAATTTGGAGGGAAAACAAAGAGAAACCAGTTTAGAAGAAAAGAAGATTCAAGCGCTTGTCACACCTAAATGTACGATGGACAGTTTCTCCAGTAGCATTAGTTGATGTGTGGTTGTTCTCCCCACGAATTAAAACTCTGGTAGTAGCTATGGCATCAATGCCTTCCGTTACAGAATTCATGGAGTACTCAAGAAGTGTTACAGGTTCCTGCATACATGGAAAAAGAGGAGTCATTACAAATAGTTTCCCATGCTGAATGAATCGTTTGGTATGACCACAGTTAAATGGATGTCCAAAGTTGAGATAAATGTCTAACAACAAAAGAAGAGATACACAACTCAAAGAGCAAGTATTGAGTTTCATGCCGTGTACAGTTTAAATGTCACTACTGCTATATCTTGATGGAAAAGGGCTTCTCATAACAAAGCCCATATTGTGAGATCATTTCATTTCAAAATAGAGAACATTAAAAAGACTGATAATACCCCAAAGCTTCCATTAAAATCTATAATTGAAAAAGGGTATCATTCATATTTTACAGTAAAAGTAGTTTTAAAACAAGTTTATGATAAATATCACATAGTGAGTCCTTTCTTCACTTTACCTAGACTACACTCTTCGTCAAGAAATTTATATTAAATTCTCCGAGCATATACCATAGTTTTTTATGATAATTCTACTCTAAAAAAAAAAAATAATTACGAACTTATTTAGCAGGCCAAACGGATACAAAGGATCAAGGCTACAAAACTGGCTACATTGACAATAGCAGACTAGAAGTTCTCTTGTTTTGCATACATATGATTCAGCTTAATCATTAGTAAGTTATTTGTTGATTAGGATAATGATTCTGTGATATGCTAATTGAAGATTTAAATGAACAGTAGATATATATTTAAATTCCCATGCCTAAGAACAAAAAAGAGAAAGGAAAAAACAAACTAAAAAACAAACACAGCTTTCAATCAAAAAATGGTATCTATCCACTATTTTTATATTATTATGCCTCTAAAGGATATTGTAATCACCTGATAATCAGCAGTTCAATGAAAAAAATTTGGCCAAACAAGAATCTTGTTAATTTTTTTAGTACATTCTAAAATGCATTGCTTCTTTTGACTGCATTGTGATTAAGTGAATGTAATTCTACTTAAATCATTTCATCATACATGAACATATAATATGCTTCCATCCCTTCTTACTCGGCTTGAATGGACCATAAGGTCTACTAAAAATAA